CAGCGAAGCTAACTTCCGTTGATTGCCAAGCTCATCGATGCTCACCAACACATCTGTCAAGCGCAGGTGATAACAGACTGGCTCGCACCTGGGCGCTCCGTGCCGCCAGTTCTAGAGCACGCAGTTGGACAGGAAAGTGTAAACTGGGGAGCTTGTCGAGGACCGCAGGAGGAAACGAATGCCGAGGAGCACGAGTAAGGAGCTGGTGACGCTCCCAAGCCACAGCCCTGGCTTCTTTCGGGGGCTGGGAGATCTGAGCAACATGTCCGACGACAGGGAGGGCGTGCCGATTCCAGGCAACCACGGAATGTACAAAACTGAACCCCAAGCTTTTCACCATGTGGGTTCGTTCCCGCAAAGTCGCCAGGGGGGCCGCCCGCGACTTCCGACTGCCTCCGAGGCCCAAGTACACGCCGAAGCATTTGCCCGACTCTGCGATCCGAAAGTCCGCGACGTCTAACCCGTGGGCGCGAAACTGATCTCGAAGCTCCACCTCCACGAACCGGCGAGGAAAAATGATGGCGCACTTGCCGAAGTTGAGAGCCAGTCCCGCGGCTGCGGCAGCACGGTGCAGCAGCCGAACAATCATCGGGAGCACCACGAAGAGGTTGCGAGCTACTAGACCGAGATCGTCTGCAAAGGCAAACAGCACCAACTCGTGGTAGCTTTTCTGGATGAGATTGGCCTTTAGCCAAGGGTTCAGGACCAGGGCAAACAGAACTCCAGATAGCGGACACCCCTGCTTCATCCCCCTCTGGGCCCAGAAGCCAGCAGGAAACGAGCTGCCCACGCCAATGAAAGTCCAGACCCCAGAATAATGCGCCTGAATCGCCCTCACCACCGCCTGGGGCACTCTCACATTACGCAGGACTGCAAACTTCCAACTGTGGTGAGCACTAGGGAAGGCGTTCAGAAAAATCGAACACGCAGCTCCGAGCATCAGTAATGCCTAAAGTGTGGGACCAAGAGAATAAGCTAGTATCCAGTTCGATGATGTTATCGAGCATCGATCGCCCCGTCACGAATCCCCGCTGACATGGCTCGACGACATCAGCAGCGACAGAATTCAGCGGCATGGCAAGCATCGGCGACAAAATCTTGTTATCGGCATTCGAGAGCGAAAGCATTCGAGTTTGGCATGGGCTGCGAACCTCAGCGCCCCCTGCAACCATATCTCCCATAGGCGGGAATGCAGCTCGACAACAGTCAAACTCCCTGCTGGTACGATGCTCAGTCACTAGGCATTGGAACGCGTCGTGCAAAAACGTGTGGGCCAAAACTGCGGCGTTGCGCCAAACCGAATAAGGAACGCCGTCGTGCCCAGGGGCAGTGTCCTTTTCCTGGCCGAGGAGGTTGAGCATCTGGTCGCGGATCGCGATCCAGTCGACCCTCTGGTGCGTGCTGGAGACGAACTGGTCACCTGGCTCCTCGAGCGGGGCGACCTGCTGCATGAAAAATCCATGGAGTCCTCGCTCACCTGATCCCCAGACTCGGCCTGAAACACGCTACCCCACTACTGCGAAAGAATTTGGGCCATCAAGGCGGGGTCCGAACTGGTCCTTCCGTCTTCCGCGCGGAGCCCCGCAAGGTACACCTTGGGACGAAGGGCGGCCCAGGGCGGAGCGAGCCGGCGAATCCGATTCAAATTGGCAGCATTGCGCATCGGAGCGAGCCGGCACTGCGAAGTACTTCCTGGGCCCTCGCATCCATGATCCCGCGCTGCATGGTCGCGATGTGCTGGTGGAAGCCCGCCCAGTCACGCCACCCACGCATATCTGCACAGAAGAAGTCGGCGGGCTTGGGGTACGCAGCGACGCACGCCGCGCACACGCTGAACTCACCTGCGCGTGATGTACGCAGAAGGCGCAGGCAGATGAAGACTTTGCCTTCGAGATTTTCGGCTCCGGCGTGGAGGACGTGGCGCTTCACTTTTTTGGCCGCAGAATGAACAACCTGTTTCGCCTCCAGGAGACGCTGGAAGGGGTCCTCGGAAAAGTCCTCTAGCCTGAACATTCCCTCGCAGACGCTGTGAAACACGCCGTGCCCCGAGATCCAGGACGGAATCGCAACATAGTCAGAGGCCTCGACGGGACGCTGAGGCTGAGAAAGACGGGGGAGTGGTCTGAGGGCTTCGTCGCATTCGTGATGGGCCAGGCCGTGGAGGAGACAGGATTGAAATCAATAAGAACAGCACTGGGAAGATTCGTGTAGATCCTATCGAGACGGGCGTATTTAGGATTGGTATCTGCATTCGCACGGCGCGCATAATGTGGCCGGTGAACTTCAGAATTGCGGGACGACCAGGTCGAATATCGAAGCGAGCCGCGAAGTTTGAAAGGTCTCACGCCCCGTGAGGGCATAGTGCCGAGCATCTCCGTTGTCGAGGAAGTTGAAACCACCAGCAATGGAGGTAGTAGCGTGAGGCGGCGGAGTAAGATGGCCACGAAACCGCCACAACACTGACTTCGTGTGAGCCTCAGTCCAGTCGGGGTCCACGTGCACGCACGCCACCTGGAGCGTCTGCCCCGGGGTCGACAGAGTGAGTGCACCCACCTGGCCTGGCTCCACTTCAACAAACATGCAAGACGAGAAAAGAGATCGAAGAGCTTCCGTAACCACAATCAGGATGCCCCCCCGCGTTCTCGTTGTCCATGAAAAACCCACGAACAGTCACGCCCAAATCACGCCGGAGAAGACTCGTATCAGCGTCGTTCCCGTGAGATTCATGAATGCACGTAGTGAGAAAGACTGGGGGCTGCCCAGCCACAAATATGGAAAAGAGGTTGGCTAAGCCTGCCTCAGTGCTGCATTGGACTCAGAAGGGGAGCGCCAGGTCGAAGCCGGGAACGCAGGCCGAGCTTGCCGAGGTAAAGCTCAACGCCGGTGTCCAAGACAGCAAGTGTCTGGTAAGAAGTCTCGATATCGGAGTGTGACAAACAGGCGTAGCCTGAATACTCCAGCGACATGCAGTGCTGGACGGGTGGTGATGAAATCTGCTGCAAGAGCCCACCATTGCACAATGCAGAGAGAAAATGATGATTCCATCCGCAATGGCGGCGCAATCGCCCAAGCCAGCTAATAAGGGCGTGCGCCTTGTCCCTTCCCTGGTCGAGGTGCGGCATCCTGCGACCCCTTTGGAAGGACAACTGCTTTGCTGCGAGCATCCAAGCTCGCGACGGCTGAACCAGTAGAGCCGCCTCTCTCCTGACTCAGCCCCGACGCTGCAACTGCAGTATCGGCTGCTGCACGTTGAAGTGGATCGCTGGCTGCAGAGGGCTCTTGAGAGCCAGCTGAGAACCCTGAGACAGACGCACTGTCGCCAGCGGACCTGGGTGCAAAGAAATGACTGTGGCCAGACGCCCGGAGGTGGTCGAAGAGCTTGTTCCTCGAAGTAAACACCTCGCCACAGTGTTGACAAGTCGTACGCGCCGTGTTCTCAGCAATCGGCGTGAGCACAGGAGGATGCTCAGCGGTAGGGCTGTGAACTGGCGGCGCAGAAGCAAGTCCGCCAGCAGGAACGCCCCCAGGACCTCCGCCATGACTCGCTTCATCCGCAGGGGGTTCGGGTCGAGAAGCGGCTGCCAACTTCTCCTTCTCGGCCTTCTTCTTACGTTTGATTCTCCGCCGCCGCGAGGCAGTCGGAGGGGGAGCAGAGGCGCTTCCACGTGCACCGGCACTGCCTCGCATCTCCATCATGACCGCGGAGGCCACGGCGGCGGCGGTAGCAGCTACAGTGCGGCGCGGCGCGCCTGCTTGCACGGCGGCTCGAACCGCCACGTCAACCAAGGACGCGGCAGCGAAGCCACCATCGGACTCCATCCCATGCAAAGCGCGCGGGGTGGGGGGGGCAAAGATGCGCTAAGCACACTTGAGCCGGGGTCTTGGATTCATGAATGCACACCACAGAGTGGCGCTTGAGAAGGAGGGAGAGGGACTGATATTTACACTGACTTCGCCGATTGCTGGTGTGATTGGAGCAAAACAAAGGCTGGGCATTCCAACTGCAAACCGAGAGGGGAGAAGACGCAGAGGGGAGGAACAATGACGAATGAACAGAGAGAGGATTATCCCGCACATGGGGCCTAGCAGCCTGAGTCCCCTCCTCAAGGCCGCGCCCGGGCGAGAAGTGAAACAGGGAGGAGGGGAGGAGGAGGAGGAGGAGGAGGAGGAGGAGGAGGACGAGGAGGAGGAGGAGGATCAGCAGGAGGCAGGAGACAGGAGGCAGAAGCAGAAGGCAGGAGGAGTAGGATGATGATGATGATGATGATGATGATGATGAGGAGGAGGAGGAGGAGGAGGAGGAGGAGGAGGAGGAGGAGAAGAAGGAGGCACGATGCAGCAAGTGGCCTGCCGGCCTGGGTCCGCGTGTTCCCCCTCCTGTGTGCCCCAGCAGCCTTGGCTTGCCCCAGCAGGTTCGACCTCCGTTGCCCCCCCCGATGGAGGCCTTCCACATGGGGTCCGAATAGATGTGGCCGGAGGATGACGCCGCATCGGCGATGCATCGCCGACGCATCGGCGATGCATCGGCGACGTCGGCGATGTATCGGTTCCGCTTGGGTGGAGAAAGCCGGGCTCCACGCCGAGCCACATCTTCCAACATATCTGCGATGCGACGCGATCCTACAACCTCATTTCGGGCGGGCACACGATACCATGGATTAGGGATCCGCGGATCTGTCGCGTTGGCGCCAGATCCATGGATCGGGAAAGGTACCGTAATAAACACGAGGCCCGTACCGCCTCATATGGCGAAAACAACGCGCCGATTTCGCATGGAACTGGGACCCGCCGCTATTCCACGCGCTTTAACCCACAGTCGCGCTTCCTCGACTCTTACCCCATATGTGGGAGGTCTGAGCCCCGACGCCTCCATCAGAGGCCTCCTAGATGCGGTTGGAAGATCGCGCCGTGGCTCCACATCGAGCCGCATCGTCGATGCATCGGCGATGCGGCACGATCCTCCGACCCCATCTACCCCGACCTCATGTAAGAGGCCTAGCCTTCGGGAGGCCTGGACCCCCACGTTCCCCTGCCCCCCGGGGGATGCAGTCGAACAGCTCGGCCTCCAGCCTGTACCGCTTGCGTGCGCTGCCCGCCTCCGCGATGATGTCCGCGGAGACGCGCCTGCAGACTCCGCCGGCCCGGGCCGCGGCTGGCTCGCGGGGCACGCGCCGAAAGATCCGTGGGGTGAGGGCTGCAGCCGGCAAGGGCAGAAAGGGCTGGGGCGTGGAGCCGTCTGTGGGTCTGAGGTGGCCCAGCAGTGGTCCCGGCCAGCAGGAAGGGCTTCGGGATTCTGGGTTCGGGGGGGCTTCTTGCCCTCTTCGGCCTCTGGGGCCGCTTTCGGGCCCCGGGACCGTCGGACACGGATCCAGGGCGCCCCGGGAGGGGTCTGGGGACCGACTTTGAAGAAAAGGTTTGGCTTCATTCCCCCCCCTGACCGACTTCCTACAGTCGGGCTTCTGCAATCAGGAACAATCAATGAGGAACGAATCCCCTTTATGACCCCCACAGCGTCTCCGTGCACGGGGAGAGTTAGAGAAACAGCCATGGAAGGACCTGAGGGAGATCGAGCCACTTCCGAACCCAAACTGCTCCTTGTTTCAGCGTCTTGGTTGTAGGGCCCCAGCCGATTCAGACCCCCTGGCCGCCTCCAGTCGGGCGTTGGCAGAACTGAGTTTAGAGGGGCCTGGTTTAGTGATGTGTACTGGGGGACGCCCCCCCCCGCCCCGTTCCACTAACCGGAACTGCCGTCACCCAAAAAACACTAGCTACGGCGAACCTCGTTTAGTGATGCTGGCCAATCTAGGGGCTCCGGGGCCCTATACTAACTGGGTTCCCTTACCTGGGATCATGGCTATACCCGATCCAGGTTGGGGCGCCCAGGCCTCTTCGCCCGCAGCGCCGGCGGACGCGAGCGGGACTGCAGAGCCGGCGGGCCGCGCCGGACACTGGGCGCACCAGAGCGGGGGAAGAGGAGGAGGGAGGAGGGAGGAAGAAGGCGAAAGACGAAAGACCACACACACGCACACACACACACACACACACACGCACACGCACACGCACACGCACACATGAGGCACCGCGACAACCCCGCAGCGCTACAGCAGTGCCACGCTGCACTGTAGCACAACCTCGCGTCTTTCGCGCGGATCGACGCGCGAAACGCGGCCCGCGGGGTCCGATTTTGTGCTTGGAGTCGCCAGCTTCGGCGCGAATCTCAAAAAAGGTTTGGGGTCCTGGGGCGCCGCCACGTCGCGGGGGAAACCTGCGCTTGATCTCGAGGAGGGTTGCAGGACGGCCGTGGAGAAGAACGGGGAAAGGACGATGATGATGAGGAGGAGGAGAAGGAGGAGGAG